ACGGTTTTTTCTTAATAACAACTATATTTTTATACTTATCAGACAAAAAACATTGGACTAAGCAAGTCTTGTTTTATTATTTATTAGGTATTTGTAATTTTACCAAACAGTAGGAAGAATGCTTCAGAGAATTTAATATATATATATATATATATATATATATATATATATATACGTGCTGTGCTTAAGAGTGCGTATTTTTGTTTGTGGTCGTCCCCAAAATCCTTACAACTTTTTGGTTTATCAAACAGCTTTTGTTTATATATATATATATATATATATATATATATATATATATTATATATATATATATATATATATATATATATATATATATAGTATATCAAGATTGTCCTCTCGTGCTAAAATTGGATGCTTAGAGACACTGTACACACCGAAACAACAAGACGTCATAGTTTGATATATACGTATGTATATATCTTTTTTATAAATTCCTCTTCGTGTTTAAAAAAAAATGAAAATTTAGTGTTCACAAACATCACTTTCGATTATACAGTCAAGTTTAGACTCTCTTTTTATCATTGTTCATATGCGCTGAAAATGTTTGATTTCGGTTGCTCAAAGTGAACTGTTAAACTAAACATTATAGAAGAAAGCAAGAGAAGAAACTCTTAACAGATAAATAAAAAAAAAAAAATATTTTTGGTATTTCTTAAATAAAATTACAACTTAAAGTTTTTGAAAAGTTGTTGTTGCTAACTTAATTTTCCAGATATTCTCCTAAAATTTTATTTTGTTTTTTCTTACTAACGGTTTAATACAGGGTCAAATTGATACTTATATAAGTTATCGACTAAAATAGTAAAAGCTTATCAGTTTACAGTTAGTATATAACTAGAATATCAAGGAATTAAAAATTGTTTGGGACTTTCTGTGCCAATATAAATTTGCTGGCAAAAATTTTTTTTGTTTCACCACTTTCATGTTGCACCTTCTGATAGCTGTAAAATAAAAGACAGCAGCAATTAGATAGTTCTGTCTTGAATTAATAATGTCATAACAGAAATGATTAGGCATAATTTACTAAGCATTAATGACCGCTGAAATCTTATAAAACAAGCATTCGTAATTACTTTTATTATTATATTTACTTCTGAAATATAAAAACACAAGAAGAGAGTTTTTTAGATAAACTCTAAGATCTTCAAATCACAGTAACATTATCGCAACTGTTAAATGCATTTTTGTGAAACTCGGTTCTAAGGTGCTCATCTTGTAGTAAGTGATATAGCGTATAATATTCTATCAGCCACAGAAATTCAATAGTAAACAGAAGACATTATTAGGAGTTTGTTCCTCCAAAAGACACTCTTTAAATGTTCCGCTGGTTTTTTGACTCCGGTGACAATGTTTTGTCTCTTTTCAATTGAAGGAAATTGCTACAGTTAAGAGAAATTCTAAATGGGAAATTACAAGTAAATAAATAAAACAAAAATTCAGTAAGAAGACAAAGCAGCCGACAGATTTTCATCAGTGTAACAGTCACCATCGCTTTTAAATACATTCCTAAATTACTTGAATTCGCAAAGGTTTAAAAGTTAAAATTCATATATTGGCGAATCCTTATAGATCAACTGAGTACAACAACAAATCGATTATCGTACTTCCGGCCTTTAAACTGCTAAAAAAACTTTTCTGTAAAAAATACACTCAGCTTACAAATGCCTTCGCAGTTGAATATGTTTACATAGACACATAAGTTCAGTCTTCAAATGGTCAAATAAACCTGTTCAAAGTTTCCAGCACTATACTTGGACATATTCTAAAACAAAAGAAAAAAAAAGATTAAAGCAAGCAATAATTGTTTACACCGAGAGACAGTGTTTAAACGAACATTAAGTTTGGTAAAAAT